TAATTTTAATAATCTTAATGAAGAAAAGTTTTGAAGTAAATTTAATTTTTCTAAAGTTTGTTGATAAAATTAAAAAAAAATAAAAGAAAAATAGAAGAAATAATGAGCAAAGTCAAAAAATTACTGTAAAAATTAGTGTAGCACAAAGCCCGTTATTTATTAATAGAAAATACAATGTTTGCCGTCTGGTTTTCCGGTTTTTAATAAAAAAGCTTTATTTAATAAAAATAAATAAAAAATGTTAAAAAATCAAATTAAATCTGCTTATCACACCAATATTGGCAGTTTCATCGTCTTCGACTGTTTGTAGTTCAAAATCATCACCCTCAATTGTTGGACTGTTAAATAGTGCCTCGTCCCTTGTACCTGCGTAATTTTTTACATACTCTAATTTTTCTTTTCATCACCGCCATAGGCGAAAATTTTGAGAATTTTGTAGGCCTTATGAGAAAAAATGTATTTGTTAGAGCCGCCAACGCAAATTTTTTTTTAAAGTTTAAATGCTCATGAAGCCATAACTCTTAAAGTTTCTGCGGCAACCGTAAACGGTTTTGTGTTACCCTAATAAAAATTCCACAATATTTTAATTAAAAGCTCGTTCTCCCACACACTTTAAAATTTATTTAAAAATATTTACATTTACCAGTCTAAGCATATTAACATTGTACACTTTTTTGCCCGCACTATGAGACATTAAAATATTTTTTAAATTAGTCCGAGCGTCACGGCATTTTTTAATAATTACATAATAACTAGCTTCATTTCTTGGGTTTTCAAAATTCTCATTATTTTCGCCTGCGGTGCTGAAAATGTGTATATTTTTCGACATTTTTTCACTTTTAAGTGTCGTTTGGCTGATTACTGCCTAAAAATCAAAAAATTTCCACCAGCCTTGCTGAAAGTTTAATTCTTGATTCTTTAGTAAAACCCCGACATGCCCGACCCCGAAGGGTCGGGTTACCACCCTGATTAATAGGGTTGTTCAATACTGGTTATTAACCGGTATGCACGGTTTTCGGTTAATCCAAATTTTATTAACTCGGTTAACTCGATTTTTGGTTTTGAGTTTTAGACAAATACCGGTTTTATTTTAAACATTTTCATAAGTTTTCGGTTTTTGTTGTTGTAAAAACGGTAAATTTTTGGCAAAAATTATAAAAAGAGGGCGCTACTTTTTTCTCTCTCGAATGTTTATTTTATAGTATTTAAATTTACTAGCATTTCGAAAAATTAATTTTATATAATGGAATATATTTTGTGGAATCGAAAAGAATTTGACATTATTTATAATTGTACAGGAATTAATGTAGATGATGTTCCTATTGAAAAAAGAAGATATCCAATAACTGCAATTATTTGTATAATACTTGGATTTATATATTATGTAGATTTTTTGAATTAAAAATTTTTTTTTAATTTAAATTTAAGCCTTTATATTTCCCTTGTCTCTACTCTTTTTGGAAAAATCGAAGCAAAAATCCCTGCTATTTACTGCTAATTAATCTCTCAATTTTGGACCTTGGATTCTTTGGGTACCAACTTTTGCATTTGGAATTTTTAGTTTGAACGGAGTTGTCTACTGTTCTTCACCATTATATACCTATTGTGTTGGATGTATTAGCGCATGTAAGTGGTTATGAGGGTTAAAAGATTACTAATAAAATCACAAACATACAAAAGGGTCTTCGGTCACTAGGAAATCCAGAATCAAAATATTAAAGAAAGGAAGATTGTCTGTTGACTGAGAGGGTCTTGTGAATAATTTTTGTTGAATGCAAAACCACTATTTTTGATAAATAAAGTAGTAGATTTGTTGTTTTGTAGTGTCTTGGTGATATTGAGAGTTTGAAAGGAAGATATAGAGAGATTTCCAACCAACCTTACATACAAGGTAGGGACTAGTGTTCGGCAAATGGATTTTTTCGGTACCGGTACCGGGAGTACCGAAAAGTACCGGTACCGAACGAGTACCGAAAATTCCAAAATTTGTTCGGGACGGTTCCGGTACCGGGAGTACCGAAAAGTCCCGATACCGAAAAGTACCGAAGAAAAATTTTCGGGAGTACCGCGGTATTTCGGTACTGACAAAAAAATGAAAAAATATCTCAAATATCACTGTTTAAACGTTATCTCACTAAATTAGATCAATAAAAAATTTTCAAATCTAAGTTCATGAGATGACTACGCTTTCTAACATTAATCTAGTTAAGGGATTTGCAGGATATCGTGGAATTATGAACGATTAAGGGGGGATTATGAACGATACAGTGGGATTTTATTAAGGGATTGGTGATTAATTCACGATATCACTGATTAATCCACGATATCACACAAGTTTTTATTCTTTACAGGTAGTCATGGGATCTGAAAGAGTAAAAGGATTTGGAGTTTGGAGGAATTAATGAGATATTGTTGGATTAAGGTCGATATCATCTTCCCAGTTTTATCTCACCAAATCTAGTGATATCTCTGTTACTCAAATCTCGTGATATCCCTCCAAATCTTCTCATATCCCCGTTATCCCTCAAATCTCCTTATATCCCTCAAATCTCCTTATATCCCTCAAAATCTTTTCATATCCCCTAATCCAACAAATATCCTGATATCCTATTTAATCCCTCCAAATCCACCAATATCATCCTTAATCTCATCAAATCCCTCATTATCATCTTGATTTCCTTTAGATCCCCTGATTAATAAGGTTGGCGAACAGTTGGAAATCTTCGGATATCCGGATCCGGAACCGAAATATTTATTTTAAGAATTTTCGCCTGCGACGCTGTAATATTGAGTCCCAATTTTGTGAATTATGATAAGCCAAAGCTCCAGATTTATTCCCCTTTCTGCGCCGCAGGCGAAAATTTTGAGAATTTTGGAGGTTCTTAAGTCAGATTTCTTCCTATTTTTCTTTAAATTTCCCGGTACCGAAAATTCGGGAGTACCGCGGTACTGGAACCTTGTTCGGTACGGTTCCGGTACCGGGAGTACCGAAAAGTACCGGTACCGAGTGGTACCGAAATTTTCCAAAATCTCATCGGGACGGTTCCGGTTCCGGGAGTACCGAAAAGTACCGATTCGGTACTTTCGGGAGTACCGCGGGAGTACCGAACCGTGCCGAACACTAGTAGGGACTGGTCGAAAAAGTTCCTGTATAGAGTTTTGGGTAACCGGACCGTCACTGAAAAATATATGTACAACGTTCCTGATTTCCTTGGCATTATATTTATTAAAATTATAATATTTAGATTTATGGGTCGCTGAATGTTCTGCTGATTTGGTCTCATAAATAAATTAAATATTATCTTTTTACTTTTCTAGATTTTGGGAATAAATCGTTGTATCGAACTGACATTTCCAAAAATTTCAAAAAAACTTTTTCACAATAATCGTGTCTATATTTGGATTATTTTTAGTAATTTGTATGGACTTTATTGGCTTTTATTTCGACATTCTGCCACTTTTAATGGAATAACTTTTGAATTTTCCTTTGAACCATTATTTGGATATAGAGATTTTAGACTTGAATTTGTAATCTACTATTAGTTGATTTTAATTTAAAATACATATTTATAGTTCGAAGAAGATTTGAGAGAAATTACTATACACGACATAATATTGGCTGTTGGTTCTCCAATAATTTATTTGATTTTTTCACTTTATGTTTTTTTCAAAACCCGTGAATTAATTGATAGTGTTTCGAAAGAGGAGAAAATGGTTAAAATTTTATTATACCTCAATTTTAAATAATAGGAAGGTCACTACAAAAAATCCGTGCTTATCTATACGATTTTTTGCTTATGCACCAATTTAAAAAGACGTACAGATATTAGTTGTGAACCTCACCCATAGGCACTAAAAAGTCTATTTTAAGTACGTACTTACAAATAAGTACATTTTTAATTTCGTAAGTACGAAGGTTGATTTGTAAGTACTGTACTTCCAAAATAAGTACCTCTGGCAACCCTGAATTAAAATATTTTTAAGGTCTTTCTTCAAGTATTTATCATTTCAATGCTGAATACATCAGCAGGTATTGTTTATGCTTACAATATGAATCATCCCGATCTTGGAATTTTGCAAATAATGATTGCCCATTTTTCTTGGTAAATAAATTATATGAATTTAATTTTATATAATTTTTGTTCAATTTTTAAGGTTACATATTCATGGTAGGTTATTCAAAAATGAATTTTATTATTAAAACAAGGTGACCCTTTTACCTCATTTGAAGGTTCCCCATATTTTGACATTTATTTGCCCCATTCCCCCCCCCTTTTTCTACATGCTCCTGTTAGTGATTTGGAAAGGGTCACCCTGATTAAAAAACAAATTTAAATATATTTTTAATTTTTTTGTAGGATTCCCACCAGTAATTTACTTAACATTAAACAAAACTGTTCGGACTGACACAAAAATTCTACTTGGAAAACTTCTTAGTTTATTAAAGAAAAATCAAAATCAAGTTTCAAATATTGTTGGACCTGCCCAAAATGATCCCTTGATACCTGCCCCCGCTTAATCCCTTGATATCCATCTCATTCCTCTGTTATCATTCGATATCCTCAATCTACACGAATCCCCGAAATGATGTTCAACCCGGAGCCCGGATTAAACATGGATCGTGTGCATATCATGGAATTTCTGCGGATTAAGAGGGATATAGACGGATTAACGAAAATAACTAGGATTTGGATGAAGATCTACGCATTACTGCCAACAAATACCCAAAACATGGCACTGATGATGAATAGTCTTTAGTAAAAGTATTGTTTTTATTGAAATTATTTTAAATTACTGTTTTATAAAAATTACTCGATTACTCGACTACTCGAACTCGAACTCGGCCTAAAAAGTTGAGCTCGAGCTCGAACTCGGGTTTTTCAAACTCGGATTACTCGAGCTCGGTTTTTTCCCAATTACTCGGTACTCGACTTACTCTACTTCTGGCAACCCTGAATTAAAATAATATTAAGGTCTTTCTTCAAGTATTTATCATTTCAATGTTAAATACATCAACAGGTATTACTTATGCTTACATTACGAATAATCCCGATAATGGAATTATGCCGTTAATGATTGCCCATTTTTCTTGGTAAATTCTAATTAACATTTAGTTTTATATACCTAATTTTTATTTAATCTTTAAGGTTACATATTCATGGTATGTTAATCAAAAATAAATTTTGTTATTAAAAACAGGGGGAGCCATTTTACTTCATTTGGAGGTTTCCCCCAGTTTGACACTTCTTGCCCCTTTTCTATCCCTTTTTTCTACATGCTCCTGTTGGAGATTTAATTTGAGAGAGGCACGGTAGAAAAGGGTCACCCTGATTAAAAAGCAAATTTAAATATTTTTAATTTTTTTATAGGATTCCCACCAGTAATATACTTAACATTAAACAAAACTGTTCGGACTGACACAAAAATTCTACTTGGAAAATTTCTTAGTTTATTAAAGAAAAATCAAAATCAAGTTGTAACTATTGTTGGACCTGCCCAAAATGGATGATGTAAATATGTTGTGTATCAGGGGGTCTGAAAAAGCGAAAGACGAAACATCAAGAAGGCGAAAGGCGAAACTGCACACCAGGGATGGGGCGGGTTACCACGGCAAATGTCCAGTTCGTTATCCATCTCCATCGAATGATTCTCTATTCTCTATCGAATGAGCCTGGTCTCGACCGTTTTAGGTCGGACACCTTGCTACCTTTCCTTGTCAGGTTAAACATAAATAATAAATCCCCCTTTGGTTAAAATTATTAAATTATTATTAAAATTTTCTTAATGATACTAAGAGAGTTAGTTGCCTGTTTTCTAGCAAAATTCATAATCATAAAAAGAGAGGTTGTCAAGAGTTACGGGTAGAATACAAAAATTTGTATTTTAAAACTAGGCAACTTATAGGTGGTTTTTCTTTTTAATTAATGTTTTTCTCGAAAGAAAAAATTAATATCCAAATTTTTCGATGATCAGATATTTGATATCGAACCAAAAATTAACATAAATGTCTTTATCATTATTATTTCTCTTCTTTTCCAAGTGAAAAAATGTATACTGGATCAGTAAGTATGAAAAATGGGCGAGCAAGCAAAAATGGAAAGAGGGAAGGAAAAAAACGCATCCACTTTGTGGACAGGTTGATAGCGAACTGGACATTTTTTGGATACCAGAACCCCGATACCTAGACTTATTTTTCGACCCAGAACCCGATCCGAAGAAAACTTTGAAAACCCGACCTCACATTTTTCTCAACCCGTCCCATCCCTGCTGTACACTCTGTTGTGTAATTTGTAAAATATACCTATTAATATACTCATTATTACCGATTATCAAGCAACTTTTAATTATGATTGATAAAATATTTTATTCATTTTATAAATTATTTCTTAATTTTTTTGCGATTTTCTGTGGTTTATTTGATAAAAATCTGTCTATTTTTAATCTATCACTAAGTGCCTTGGTTTCGTCTGGGCTATAACTCTAATTTTAATAATCTTAATGGAAAAAAATTTTAAAGAAAATTTAATTTTTTTAAAATTTTTTGAGAAAATTTAAAAAAAAAATAAACTAAAAATAGAAGAAATAATAAGCAAAGTCAAAAAATTACTGTAAAAATTAGAGTAGCACAAAGCTGAGTATCAACCGGTCCCCCGTCTAACGTTTAATCGTGTTTTTATAAACCCGAATACCGTAACAGGTTAATAGAAAATACAAGGTTTACCGTCTGGTTTTCCGAAAAGCTTTATTTAATAAAAACCAAAAAAAAAATGTTAAAAAATCAAATTAAATCTGCTTATCACACCAATATTGGCAGTTTCATCGTCTTCGACTGTTTGTAGTTCAAAATTATCACTCTCAATTGTATAAAGACTGTTAAACAGTGTTTAGAATGTTCAAAAGTGCCTCGTCCCTTGTACATGCGTAATTTATTCACATACTCTAATTTTCCTTTTTTCACCGCCGGAGGCGAAAATTTTGAGAATTTTGTAGGCCTTATGAGAAAAAATGTATTTGTCAGAGCCGCCGACGCAAATTTCATGAAGCCATAACTCTTAAAGTTTCTGCGGCAACCGTAAACGGTTTTGTGTTACCCTAATAAAAATTCACAAAAATTCACACAATATTTTAATTAAAAGCTCGTTCTCCCACACACTTTAAAATTTATTTAAAAATATTTACAATTACCAGTCTAAGCATATTAACATTTTACACTTTTTTGCCCGCACTATGAGACATTAAAATATTTTTTAAATTAGTCCGAGCGTCACGGCATTTTTTAATAATTACATAATAACTAGCTTCATTTCTTGGGTTTTCAAAATACTCAAAATTTTCGCCTGCGGTGCTGAAAATGTGTATATTTTTCGACATTTTTTTCACTTTTAAGTGCAAAACTCAAACGCTGGAATGATCGTTTTGGTTGATTACTGCACTATGTATGAATCGAGAAACCTACCGGCCTTGCTGAAATTTTAATTCTTGATTCTTCAGTGAAACCCCGACCCCCGACATACCCGATCAAAGGGTTGGGTTGATATTCTAATTAATAGGGTTGTTCAATACCGATTATTAAGTTGGCCACAGAGTGGGGGGGGGGGGTGCGTGAGCTATCAATGTGACTCTCTCCAGCTATTAAAATTTTTTTAAATCTAGCATTATTTTATATAATGGAATATATTTTGTGGAATCGTAAAGAATTTGATACAATCTATAATTGTACAGGAATTAATGTAGATGATGTCCCTATTGAAAAAAGAAGATATCCAATAACTGCAATTATTTGTATAATACTTGGATTTATATATTATGTAGATTTTTTGAATTAAAATTTTTTAATTCGAAATTTAAGCCTTTATATTTCCCTTGTCTCTACTCTTTTTGGAAAAATAGAAACAAAAATCCTTGCTACTTGCTGTTAATTTATCTCTCAATTTTGGACATTTGTATACTTTGGATACCAACATTTTCAGTCGGAATTCTTAGTTTAAACGGGGTTGTGTACTGTTCTTCACCAATCTATACCTACTTTATGGGGTGTGTTGGTTTATGTAAGTGCTTAAATATGAGGCTTAACAACAAGCATACAAGAGGACCGTCGGTTACTAAGAAATCCAGAATCAAAATTTTTATCAAAATAGTGTAGATTGTTTGTTAACTGAGAGGGTATTGGGAATAATTTTTGTGGAATGCAATTATTGTTGATAATTAAAGTAGTGTCTTGGTGATAATGAGAGTTTGAGAGAGATTTCCGGATACCCGAGGTTTTTTCTGTTCCGAACACTCGTAAACGCCAACCTACATACAACGTAGGAGCGGGTCGATATAGAATTTTGGCCAAGTCCGGTATAGAGTTTTGGGTAACCGGACCGTCCTTGATACAAATACGACCTTCCTGATTTCCGTGAATTTTGGTATGTTGAAGGCTCTGACCTCGGGATTATATTTATTAATATTATTTAGATATATGGGCTGCTGAATGCTCTGCTGATTTGGTTTCATAAATAAACTAAGAATTAATTTTATTTTTTTCTAGATTTTGGGAATAAATCGTTGTATCGAAATGGCATTTCCAAAAATTTCAAAAATATTTTTCCACAATAATCGTGTCTATATTTGGATTATTTTAAGTAATTTATATGGACTTTATTGGCTTTTATTCCGACATCCTTATATTTTTAACGGAATAACTTATGAAACTTCCTTTGAACCATTACTTGGATATAGAGATTTCAGAATGGAATTAGTAAAATTTAAATGTTAAAATTTGTAATTTGAACATTTGCAGCTCAATGAAGATTTGAGAGAATTTACTATACACTGTACAATATTGGCTGTTGGTTCTCCTCTAATTTATTTGATTTTTTCACTTTGTGTTTTCTTCAAAACCCGTGAATTAATTGATAGTGTTTCGAAAGAGGAGAAAATGGTTAAGATTATATTATACCTCACTTTTAATAGAGTAGGACGATATCGATAATTTAAGAAAAATTCGATATAGAGATTGGTCGATATTGGCACAACCGAGATCGATATGCAAGATTTGATCCGATATCGAGATCCGACCTTTACTTTCGCCCATCATTAGAGGTGTATCTTTGAAACCGGTTCTGGAACTGGTTCTAAAACGGTTCCGGACCTTTGCCGGTTCCACTTACGGAACCGCACCGGTTCCGGAACCCCCGCATCACTACCCTACTTTTAAATGATGGGTAATTATCGTTTCAACCTATTTGCTCGAGAAGGTAAATAATCGAGAGGAGGGTATAATTTGAAAGAGGCACGGTGGATTAGATAGAGGTGTTTTATCTAAAATCGGGGTTAATAATATATTAAATTTGTAATATTTTAAGGTCTTTCTTCAAGTATTTATCATTTCAATGTTCAATACATCAACAGGTATTGTTTATTCTTACAATATGAATCATCCCGATCTTGGAATTTTGCAAATAATGATTGCCCATTTTTCTTGGTAAATAAATTATATAAAGTTGTATTTATAAAATTTTTGTTTAATTTTTAAGGTTACATATTCATGGTATGTTAATCAAAAATGAATTTTATTATTAAAACAAGGGGTAATAGTCGGTTTCATACCACCCTTTTTCGGACTATTTTTTATTTCTCCTTCTCTATCTCCATTATTTTATATGAGGAACTCGTTGAGCTGAGTCTCGGTCAAATCAAGTAGGATTTTTTCGATTTTGGTGTCATCCGACTCAGCTCGAAGAGTTCCTCATGAAAAATGAGTGAGAAGGAAAAATGAAAAAATAGTCAGAAAAAAAGGGGGGGGGGAGATTTAAAAAAAGGGGGGAGATTTAAAAAAATTTAAATATTTTTAAAATTATTTTTAAAGGTTTCCCACCAGTAATTTACTTAACATTAAACAAAACTGTTCGGACTGACACAAAAATTCTACTTGGAAAATTTTTTAGTTTATTAAAGAAAAATCAAAATCAAGTTTCAAATATTGTTGGACCTGCCCAAAATGGCTGAAGTAAATACGTTGTTTATCAGGGGTCTGAAAAAGCGAAATACGAAAGATAAATCATCATGAAGACAAAAATCTGGCGAAAGGTGAAACTCACACTAGGAATGGGGGGGGGTTGCCAGGGTAAATGTCAAGTTCACTATCCGCCTGTACGTAAAGGGTGAATGCGCACCTTCTTTGCTTTTTGTACTTAGGTTAAACATAAATAATAAATCCCCCTTGGGTTAAAATTATTAAATTATTATTAAAATTTTCTTTATGATACTCAGAGAGTTGCCTGTTTTTTGGCAAAATTCATAATCATAAAAAGAGTTAGAGGTTGTCAAGAGTTACGGGTAGAATACAAAAATTTGTATTTAATAACTAGGCAACTTATAGGTGGTTTTTTCTATTTAATGTGTAATGTTTTTCTCTGAAGAAAAAATTAATATCCTAATTTTTCGATGATCAGATACTTGATATCGAACCAAAAATTAACCTAAATTTCTTTAATTTATCATTATTATTTCTCTTCTTTTCCAAGTGAAAAACTGTATACTGAACAGTAAGTATGAAAAATGGGCGAGCAAGCAAAAATGTAAAGAGGGAAGGAAAAGTGCGCATCCACTTTGTGGACAGGTTGATAGCGAACTGGACATTTTTTGGAACCAGAACTACGATACCTAGACTTATTTTTCGACCCAGAACTCGATCCGAAGAAAACTTTGAAAACCCGACCCGACTTTTTTCTCAACCCGTCCCATTCCTGCTGTACACTCTGTTGTGTAATTTGTAAAATATACCTATTAATATACTCATTATTACCGATTATCTAGCAACTTTTAAGTATGATTAATAAAATATTTTATTCATTTTGTAAATTATTTCTTAATTTTTTTGCGATTTTCTGTGGTTTATTTGATAAAAATCTGTCTATTTTTACTCTATCACTAAGAGTCTTGTCTGGGCTATAACTTTAATTTTAATAATCTTAATGGAAAAAATTTTAAAGAAAATTTAATTTTTTTAAAGTTTATTGAGAAAAATTAAAAAAAAATAAACTAAAAATAAAAGAAATAATGAGCAAAGACAAAAAATTACTGTAAAAAATAGAGTAGCACAAAGCTGATTATCAACCGGTCCCCCGTCTAACGTTTAATCCTATTTTTATAAACCCGAATACCGTAACCGGTTAATAGAAAATACACTGTTTACCGTCTGGTTTTCCGAAAAGCTTTATTTAATAAAAATAAATAAAAAATGTTAAAAAATCACATTAAATCTGCTTATCACACCAATATTGGCAGTTTCATCGTTTTCTACTGTTTGTAGTTCAAAATCATCATCCTCAATTGTTGAAGGACTGTTCAACAGTGCCTCGTCCCTTGTACCTGCGTAATTTTTTCACATTCTCTAATTTTCCTTTTTCTTCACCGCTGGAGGCAAAAATTTTGAAAATTTTGTAGGCCTTATGAGAAAAAATATGTTTATCAGAGCCGCCAACGCAAATTTTTTTTAAAGTTTAAATGCTCATGAAGCCATAACTCTTAAAGTTTCTGCGGCAACCGTAAACGGTTTTGTGTTACCCTAATAAAAATTCCACAATATTTTAATTAAAAGCTCGTTCTCCCACACACTTTCAAATTTATTTAAAAATATTTACAATTACCAGTCTAAGTATATTAACATTTTACACTTTTTTGCCCGCACTATGAGACATTAAAATATTTTTTAAATTAGTCCGAGCGTCACGGCATTTTTTAATAATTACATAATACATAACTAGCTTCATTTCTTGGGTTTTCAAAATACTCAAAATTTTCGCCTGCGTCGCTAAAATGTGAACATTTTTCGGAATTTTTTTCACTTTTAAGTGCAAAATATCGTCTTAAACGCTGGAATTGATTAATGTACATACTATATCGAAAAATTTCTACCAACCTTGCAGAAATTTTAATTCTTGATTTTTTAATAGCATTTCCAAAAAAATTTATATAATGGAATATATTTTGTGGAATCGAAAAGAATTTGACATTATTTATAATTGTACAGGAATTAATGTAGATGATGTCCCTATTGAAAAAAGAAGATATCCAATAACTGCAATTATTTGTATAATACTTGGATTTATATATTATGTAGATTTTTTGAATTAAAAATTTTTTTTTAATTTAAATTTAAGCCTTTATATTTCCCGTGTCTCTACTCTTTTTGGAAAAATCGAAGCAAAAATCCTTGCTATTTACTGCTAATTAATCTCTCAATTTTGGACCTTGGATTTCTTTGGGTACCAACTTTTGCATTCGGAATTCTTAGCTTAAACGGTGTTGTCTACTGTTCTTCACCAATATTTTCCTACTTTGTTGGATGTTTTGTTTTATGTATGTAAGTGTTGAAATATGGAGGTTGAGAGATTTATTAACCACACAAACATACAAGCAGGGTTGGCGTTTCTTTAGAAATTTCTGGTTATCCAAAACTGAAATCTTAAATAAAGTGGTGAAGAATGTCTGTTTGATCGAGAGGGTCTCGTTAAATTTTGAGAATTTGGAAGTTAAAAAGCCAGATACATCAGAACAGTTAGGGGATATCAAGAGATTTCTGGCTACCATTTCAATTCCGAATATGCAGATAACGAGGATCCGGTAGGTGACTAGTAACGGGTAACCAAAACATCCCTGTTATGAAAACAACGTTCCCGAAGACCGTGACTAAAACAATGTTCTAATAGAAAAAAAGCTTAAACATTGAGATTACATTTACTGATATTTTTTAGATTTATGGGCCGCTGAATGTTCTGCTGATTTGGTCTGATAAATTATTTAGGAATTAATTTTATAAATTTTACCAGATTTTGGGAATAAATCGTTGTATCGAAATGGCATTTCCAAAAATTTCAAAAAAACTTTTCCACAATAATCGTGTCTATATTTGGATTATTTTTAGTAATTTATATGGACTTTATTGGCTTTTATTTAGACATCCTTGTATTTTTAATGGAATAAATTATGAAATCTTCTATGAACCATTAACTGGATATAGAGATTTTAGAATGGAATTAGTAATTTAAAATCTAATTTAAATATATCTAGTATTTTCAGTTCAATGAAGATTTGAGAGAAGAAACTATACACGACACAATATTGGCTGTTGGTTCACCTTTAGTTTATTTGATTTTTTCTCTAATATTTTTCTTCAAAACCCGTGAATTAATTGATAATGTTACTAAAGAGGAGAAAATGGTTAAAATTTTATTATAACTCACTTTTAGATAATAGGAAGGTTGTAAACGTGTCTGGTGATTTGGGCAGTGTGACGTGAGCAGTGGTTAAATGGGATAAAACAATTAGAGGACCTATTGATAGAGGGGGTAAGCGAGGGTGGGGGTATAGTTTGACAGGTCGTTTGACTAGATAGAGGTGTTTTTATCTAAAATTTGGGTTGAATAATACATATGTTAAGGTCTTTCTTCAAGTATTTATCATTTCAATGATAAATACATCAACAGGTATTACTTATGCTTACATTATGCATAATCCCGATAATGGAATTTTGCAAATGATGATTGGACATTTTTCTTGGTAAATGCTAAATAACATTTAATTTTATATAATTTTTGTTTAATTTTTAAGGTTACATATTCATGGTATGTTAATATTTAAATAGAATTTTGTTATTAAAAAATAGAGTGATCCCTTTTACCTCATCTTCGGGGTTCTCCCCTGTATGACACTTCTTGCCCTTTTCTATCCCTTTTTTACATGCTTCTGTTAGTGGATTGAAAAGCAAATTTAAATATTTTTTAAATTTTTTAAAGGTTTCCCACCAGTAATTTACTTAACATTAAATAAAACTGTTCGGACTGACACAAAAATTCTACTTGGAAAATTTTTTGGCTTATTCAAAACAAATCAGAATCAAGTTATAACTATTGTTGGACCTGCCAAAATGGATAAAGTAAATATGTTGCGTATCAGGGGTGTGCCGAAACAGATCTTATAAAGCGAAAGACAAAACAACAAAACTCTATGTTGCGTATTTTGTTATTTGAATAAAGATTTGCGATTTTATGGTTTTCTTGATAAAAATCTACATCTATTTTAATCAATCCCCAAGAGATATTTTTTAAATTAAAAATAATTTAATGTTCGAAATTAAATGTAACTCTTCTCTCTCCTTAGGGTCTCATTAAATTTAGGTCTCATTAAATTTTGAGAATTTGGAAGTTAAAAAGCCCGATACATCAGAACAGTTAGGGGATATCAAGAGATTTCTGGATACCATTTCAATTCCGAATATGCAGATAACGAGGATCCGGTAGGTGATAGAAAGGTTGTAAACGTGTCAGGTGATTTCGGCAGAAGTGACGTGTGTTAAGCTTTTTTCTCTATTAGAACATTGAATTAGTCACGGTCTTCGGGAACGTTGTTTTCATAACAGGGATGTTTTGGTTACCCGATACCGATAATACTTTCTTCAAGTATTTATCATTTCAATGCTGAATACATCAACAGGTATTACTTATTCTTACATTATGCATAATCCCGATAATGGAATTTTGCAAATGATGATTGGACATTTTTCTTGGTAAATTCTAATAAACATTTAATTTTATATAATTTTTGTTCAATTTTTAAGGTTACATATTCATGGTATGTTAATATTTAAATAGAATTTTGTTATTAAAAAATAGAGTGATCCCTTTTACCTCATCTTCGGGGTTCTCCCTGTATGACACTTCTTGCCCTTTTCTATCCTTTTTTTACATGCTCCTATTAGTGGATTGAAAAGTAAATTTAAATACTTTTTAAATTATTATTTAAGGTTTCCCACCAGTAATTTACTTAACATTAAACAAAACTGTTCGGACAGACACAAAAATTCTACTTGGAAAATTTTTTAGTTTATTAAAGAAAAATCAAAATCAAGTTGTAACTATTGTTAGACCTGCACAAAATGTATGATGTGTATCAGGGGTCTGAAAAAGCGAAATACGAAAGACGAAACATCAAGAAGACAAAAACTGGCGAAGGGCGCAAAAAGTAAAAATAAAATACAGTAATATACTCGTTATTGCCGATTATCTAACCTTCGGTCCCCCTCCTTTAAGTATGATTAATAAAATATTTTTTTCATCATGTAGATTATTTCCTAATTTTTTTTGCATTTTTTGCGATTTGCTTGATAAAATTCTGTTTATTTTTTAATCTATCCCAAAGTGACGTACTTTAAAATATTTTTGAAACAAAGTTTTGAATTATTAATTTATGTTCAGAGGTATGCTATTTTTTTATCTCCCTAGGGATCTCCCTAATTAACCTTTATCTCCCTAATTACCCTTTTAATTATCCCGTGTAGCATGTAATTGTTGCCACCTATACAATAAAGAGATTTCACAAAAAAGTATTTATTTAAATTAAATTTTAGAGGTCAGAAATTTTTTTGCCCTGAGTAAAAAAATAAAATTTTGGGCAAATTATTTGAATTTAATTAATTTATTTTGTATCATCATTTCTTCCTTTACGACTTTTTAATTGACTCCGTAAATGATTTCTCATTTCAATTGGATTCATATCACTTCCACCTTCCGTTTCTGATTGAAAATTTAGATGCGGAACTTCTTGTTGCGACAATCCAAAAACTTTGGGTTTTTCTGCTTGTTGTTGTCTAAATTGAATTTTTTTAAAAGTTTTTCTATTTTATAAACTCGTTCAAACTAGCTGATCCAAAATAAAGTAACTTTTAGGCATGGATGGCATTCTCAAAGGTGGAACCGTCTCGTTCCAATCTCTAATTTCTATTAAGTATCCCAGACAATGGCATCGAAAAATCAAGTATTTGATCAACTTTTATTTGATCAGACATTTCATTTTGTCATTTGATCAATCCTTGTCAGCCAGAAACTTGTCAAATCTCTGTCCCGATTACTTTGAATATTAAAGAAATTTCGTCTTAACCCGATCTCTAGTTACAACCTATTTGATTCAGAATACTTTTTACATCGGGGATCAATTTTTTCGGGACTGGGTTCGGATCGAGGATAATTGTGAAAAACTCGTTTGAGAACGGAGTCGTTGTCCAACTCAATTCGAATGACTGTCATTTAACGGTATGCCCGTAAAAAGTATTTTTGACTTAGGGGTTCCTTCCACTCTTTTTACTTTCTGTTTAATAATTTCTAAAATTCCTAAAACTATATTCACCTATTATCAAGGGCTGTATTAATCAAATTATCATCAGAATAACCACTAGAAGAAGCAACATTATTGTTTACATTCCTTCCTCTTTCCTGTTTCATTTTTTCTTTCTGTTGTTTCTCATTTTGCCTATTTTGGTCATTAAATCCATTTGATGTTTCAAATGGGGGTTGTTCTCTAGCAGAGTTTGGATTGCGAGGTTCTGCTGGTTGTTGCGGATTTTCTTCCTCTGATTCAGCTTGATTTACTTTGAAGGCTGGATTGTATGCTGAATTGAATTAAAAAATGATGAATTTCATTAGTTAGAATCTTTAAGATTTCTATCGACCTCTAGATTATTGCAAGGAAAGGCATATATTTCAATTTGTGGAGCAATCGAGGCTCTTAGAAATCTTGGTCGATTAAGACGGTTACCCGTCGAAACCTTACTCTAGAGATGCTTGTTCAAAACCTCTAAATACGTAGAAAAAGCTCAAGATCTTTTGCTAGTACAAAGAACCATTTTTCTAATTATTAAATTTCCTTCTAAATTAAGAAAAAGTTTGAGCCCTCGTATGTATTTCTCTAAACTTTAATCCCTTTTAACATGACCTAATAAAGTGACTTTGATCATAATTTTATTAACATTTAAGTCATATTTTAGATAATTTCACTAGTCAGTCTCAACCTGGAGGCATAGGATGTTGTGGCATATTGTTTCTGATATTTGTTGTTTGTGGTAAACCCTGGGATTGTATATTAGATTGATGTAAATTTTGTTGATTAAAATTTTGTTGGGATGGTTGGGGCAAATTATTTACAATTTGTTGAGGCATTGGCCTTTCAAAATTAGTGGAAGGAGGGGGAGGGGGTGGTGGTGGAAGATGAGAAGAATCGGAGCCTCCAAATGTAAAGGTCTGTACTGGGGGGATTTCACGTCGAGAAGATAAAGAAGAGAATTGGTCTGGACCTGTTGCTTTAATTTTTTATGAAATTTAAAAAAAATCGAAAATTTTTACAATATTTTGGAGGTTTAACAGGATAATAAGACTCAGGAGGAGGAGCAAATGTAGGCATTGGTGGTAGTGTGAAGGGTTGAAGTGGTGGAAGTGGTGGAAGGGTTTGAAGTTGGAATTGTGGTAACTTAAATATTTTTTAAATGAAATTTAAAATTACAGTAGGCCTCACTATATGATAAAACTTTAGGAAGGGAAAGTGAAAGTTATAATGTGGGGTTGCATTTACGGTCTGTTGAGCTAATCTGTTAAGGGTTTAAATTAAGGGTTTGGTTAATCAGCCCTTCTCTCCCACATAATGTCCGAATAAATTTAATAAAAGCTTATAGTTTTATCTACTATTGAATGTATCACATATAGTGAGGGTCTCTGACACTCCTTAAAAATTCATAGTGAATTTTTGCTAGGAATCTTCCTAGGTTCTAATTAAGACAATTAATTTTCATTACCACATAGCTCGGAGGTGGTGGCGGTGGTGCAACAGGATAATAAGAAAAAAGTTGAGGCAGAGGAGGAGGTGGAGGAAGCGTTTCTAATTTAGGTAAGGTAAATGGGGGTAATGTCTGTAAAGTAAATGTTGGTGGAGCATAATTATAATGTGAAGGAGGTGGTGGGGCAACTGAAAATAAAATTAAAATATTAATGTAATACAAGTTATAAGCCGAGCCTCATTTTTAAACACCACTCAAAAGCTGCCGAATCCTATTTTCAAATACCTCTCAAGGCTTCCCAAATTTTCAAAAAAAAACCTCTCAAAGTTTAGGCTACTGGGTGAGAGAGAGAGATAGGCGATTACCCATAACTAAGGTACGGTACCCTTATAAACGGATTCTAAAAGTAAGGTTTAAAGAATAATTGAGGAAATTATTGAGGGAATTCCAAATAAAAATCAATTACCTGGATAATAAGATTTTGGTGGTGGTGGAGGAGGTGTTGGGGGTGGTGCAGCTAAATTTAATTAAAAATCTTTATTTTCCCAAATTTTCAAACAAATACTTTTATATTCACTCGGTGGGGCAACATAAGAACCTGCAGCATCATCAGCCGGATATTGCTGGGGAAATAGAGAAGTTCCCGGAAATCCAGCACTTCCAATACAGGCTAAAGTTGAATCCGACAAAAATACAATTAAAATAAGGGAAATAAAGGGTCTGGGAATAAGGGGGATTTTTAACATTTTTAGGGAGGATTTTTAACAAAAAATTTTTTTTCGAAAAATAAATTAAATATTAAACAGTTTTACTCGTTTTATAGCAATTTATTTTTCATATTTTTGTAAACGGCCTCCAAATTTAGAAAAAAATTTTTTTTTCAAAATGCCTAAAGGCAGCGAAAATTAAAATGAAAGGAAAATGTTGCAAAATATTTTAAAAAGGAGAGAAAACAATAAAAGAAATTTTAAAAAAAGCGGGAAAGGAGAGAGGATATAAATCAAGTTTTGAATTAATAAATGATGCAAAATTCCTTAAAGATATGCATAAATATTTAAAAATAACCTTGAGTAAAATTATATTGGTTTTGGGTTAAAAATACCAATGAAATTTGATAAATTTTTAATTAATTAATAAATAAAAATAATTTTTAGCAAAGACTATTTTTGATAGAAAGTGAAAAAGGCCTTAAAACATAACAATAAATATTTGTACCATGTATGGGCCAAACGAATTTTAAAAAGCGGAAGACGGAAAACGAAAAGAAAAATAAAATTCGAAACCTGCGGAAGACGGAAGAGTAAAAGATCCCATCCCTCATATTTACTCAATGGCTGGGCAAAATTATATTAAAAACGTAGGAAACTAAAAGTAAACGCAGGAAAGGCCAGAAATTGGGGATCACGGAATGGTTGGTAATAGGAAATTTTCAGGACACCATGATACTTTAAATTATTTTTAACTATGTACATAAATATTACTCATAAATATTAATAATGTGATGATTTAGCCAAAGGCACAATATTTTAAATTTCTATAAAACTTTCAAAATATTTTCGAAATTTATTATAGAGGAGATATAAGGGCAAACTACAAAATAATACAAAAATTTGAAAAATACAAACAAAAAATAATAAAAAATAATCAAAGGAAGCCGTCTTGTTATTATAAAGTGCATACACATGAGTATGTCATTTTTAATTTATCCGACACCCAATTATAAATTATGGCAAGAATTTCGAAATAATGTGTATATACATAAATATATTTCTCTCTGTCGGGCATTTTTTAATTATTTATTTTTTTAAAACAAAAATTTGTTAATTAAAATAAAATGAATATTATTTATATATTCTTTATTTTGTTTATAATTTATTTGGAAAATTATAACATTTTGGCAAACGATGGAACAATCAACGTAAAAATTAATTCAGATTGGCTAGAGAAAAGAGAATATAATTATTTAAAAAATAAAAATCCAGAAGAACGTTTTTCTTTTAAAAATTTAATTGGAAAATATTTAAATACGGAAAATAATATTAATTATTATTCAGTATTTAGGAAAGTTATGCATTATTCACCAGAAATAGAAAATACTAAAAATGGCATTGTCGATGAATTAATTAGTCCATTACTAAAACAAGTATTACAAAAGATTACGCGTCAAATTTCTTGGGATAAGGGGTAGTCTGGGGAACTAAGTGGATTTGAGGTATTAAGAGCGGTTTCAAGGTAGTATATAAGTGATTTGGAAGTATTGAAGGGAATGAGGGGATATCAGGAGATTTAAAAACAAATTTAAGGCAATTAAAAGAAAGTTAACTACATCCGAAGGTGAAATCAGCGTTTTAGAAAATAATGGGCATATAAATTATATAAGAAAGGAATTAAAAAGAGTATCCCCAAAAGAAAAAATAAAAATTTATAAAGAAGAATTAGGAAAAAATTATTGGGCATTAATTAATTTAAATGCTTATAAAGTTGAATTATTGGAAGAATATATTAAAATAAAGGATAATGTGGACAAAAAGTTTAAAATTAATGAACAAATTGGTAATTCAAAGGAAAGGATTAAATCAGCAGGTAATTTAGCACGCAACCTAAGTAAATTAGTGCGAAAATAACAACGTTTTCTCGAGAATCGAAAAAAATACACCCCTGTTAAGCATTGTAAAAATATAGTGAGATCCGCCTATAAAATTTATTTTAAATATAATTTGAAAATTAATAGGTGGAAAGCTAATTGACCTGACAAAATATGTTTGTATTTAACTTGAATTTATTTAAAATTAAAAGAAATTTCAGGAAATTAAATTAGAAAATTTTGTTTATGGTTTCCCATATACAAACAATGATATTACTGAATTATCTGAAGGATTTGGACTTGAAGAAGACCAAATACGTGTATGTTTTTGTTAAAAATAGATTTAATAAAACAAAAAACATTTCAGCAAATAATCAATGTATGTACATCTTTTAGTTGTTCTTTTATATCTTCGATTTCGTGTTTCTATCCCTCTAGAAAAATTTGTCTGTTTAGCCATTGAATTTTAACTTCTAAAGTAAATAGAATCTGGATCCGGATTGAGCCAGCACACTTAATTACCCATAGACAATTCCTGCCACATTTTTTCTAGGGAGATTAAAAAATAAGACCTGCTATAATTTTAATATAAAAAAGTTTTTTTCAAACCATTTCCTTGACCAATTGTAATTTTAATATATAAAACAAAGAAAACCCCTAATAAAAACACTGGGACCTCGATAATACTAATCCCAGCCACTTTCAGCAGCCGTAAAGTAAATTGGGTTCCGAGGGTTTCAGATTATCTAGACCCTAATTATTCGATTTTAAATAAAAGAACAAGAGAAAAACGTACAAAGCAAATGGAATAAAATTTAAAACTATCAAAACAACCTTTAATAAAATAAAGAAAATAGATCCAACAAAAAATTCAGGTTGTACTTTTATTATAGCTATATTTATAATATATAGCCCTATAATTTATTATAAAGCCCTATAATAACGTAATTAAATATATAAATTATTTTTTAGCTAAAATATTTAATGTTTATTTGAATGAAAAAACATTAAATTTGACTGGAATAGAATTGAAACGAATAATGAAATATAAATCCAAAAAAATATATTCGACAACTTATCCACTCGAACATTTTTTTCTTAATTTCAACGCAAACAAATTTTATTTTGATAAAAATGATGTTGAATTTAGAAAAATAATTTTAATAAATAATTCTGGAAAAAGATTTGTAATTATTGAAATTAATTATTTGGAAGATATTAAATTATGTAAATTAACACATAAAATTGAGATTGAGGAAGAAGAGTTTATTAAAATGATTGAAGAAGATGATAATGATTTTGAAGTTAAATTGGAAGAAATTGAAGTGGAATGATTGAAATTTAAGAAATATTAAATCATTCAAATCCTGTATATCGCTGTAAATTATTATTTTTATTTTTTTACTATTTTATTTTTTTTAAATCCTTTTTTATCTATTAATTCTTCAATACATGCATTTGATTTAAGTTTCTTTTTAATAAATTAGTGTTTGCATTTGTACCTTTTGATATATAATGTCGTTTTTTTATTATAATTAAATTTTTGTAATTGAATTTTAAGTTGGCTTAAGATAATTTTATATTTATTTGCTAGATTAACTCTGTTTAATCAGAAGAAACTTTTATCTGTTATTTCCTATGTGTATTTTTTTTGGAACACGCATCGTGCATAAGGAAAGATTAAAATACAATGTTTTATAGCCGATGTTAAAAAATTCTCAATGATCTCCAAATTTGTAACCAAGTCGTGGGGTCTTGAAAATATGCTCGATTAATAATATATACGTAGTATTATCATTTGAGCAAGAAACATAGTCAAGAGTCAGATACAAATCACCAGCTATTATTATATTTTTATAATTTAAGAAAAAAATACTTTACGACACAGAATAGAAGAACTTTTTTATTCCACATAATAGAAAAACTTCTATTCAAAGAATAAAACTTCTAGCTCAGAAACTGAAACTTGCCATTTCTATTATGTCACCTTATATATATTATGACTGATAAGATTTGTATTGAAAATCAATCGATATAAAATAAATAATAAGAAAATAAGAAACTTTAACTTGCCGTTTCTATTATTTCACTTTATATATTTTATGACCGATAAGATTTGTATTGAAAATCAATCGATATGAAATAAATAATAAGAAAATAAGAAATTATAACTTGCCGTTTCTATTATTTCACTTTATATATTTTATGACCGATAAGATTTGTATTATAAATCAATCGATATGAAATAAATAATAAGAAAATAAGAAATTATAACTTGCCGTTTCTATTATTTCACTTTATATATTTTATGACCGATAAGATTTGTATTATAAATCAATCGATATGAAATAAATAATAAGAAAATAAGAAATTATAACTTGCCGTTTCTATTATTTCACTTTATATATTTTATGACTGATAAGATTTGTATTGAAAATCAATCGATATGAAATAAATAATAAGAAAATAAGAAATTATAACTTGCCGTTTCTATTATTTCACTTTATATATTTTATGACTGATAAGATTTGTATTGAAAATCAATCGATATGAAATAAATAATAAGAAAATAAGAAATTATAACTTGCCGTTTCTATTATTTCACTTTATATATTTTATGACTGATAAGATTTGTATTGAAAATCAATCGATATGAAATAAATAATAAGAAAATAAGAAATTATAACTTGCCGTTTCTATTATTTCACTTTATATATTTTATGACTGATAAGATTTGTATTGAAAATCAATCGATATGAAATAAATAATAAGAAAATAAGAAATTATAACTTGCCGTTTCTATTATTTCACTTTATATATTTTATGACCGATAAGATTTGTATTATAAATCAATCGATATGAAATAAATAATAAGAAAATAAGAAATTATAACTTGCCGTTTCTATTATTTCACTTTATATATTTTATGACTGATAAGATTTGTATTGAAAATCAATCGATATGAAATAAATAATAAGAAAATAAGAAATTATAACTTGCCGTTTCTATTATTTCACTTTATATATTTTATGACTGATAAGATTTGTATTGAAAATCAATCGATATGAAATAAATAATAAGAAAATAAGAAATTATAACTTGCCGTTTCTATTATTTCACTTTATATATTTTATGACTGATAAGATTTGTATTGAAAATCAATCGATATGAAATAAATAATAAGAAAATAAGAAATTATAACTTGCCGTTTCTATTATTTCACTTTATATATTTTATGACCGATAAGATTTGTATTGAAAATCAATCGATATGAAATAAATAATAAGAAAATAAGAAATTATAACTTGCCGTTTCTATTATTTCACTTTATATATTTTATGACCGATAAGATTTGTATTGAAAATCAATCGATATGAAATAAATAATAAGAAAATAAGAAATTATAACTTGCCGTTTCTATTATTTCACTTTATATATTTTATGACCGATAAGATTTGTATTATAAATCAATCGATATGAAATAAATAATAAGAAAATAAG